TTAATTTCAATAAATACGGCTTCCAGGAATTTTTAAATTAGCATCTTTTTTGACACTTTTAGGTTATACGAAAATGTAAGTTTTATTTCAACATTTTTTTTCTCAATATTTTTCCAATCCAACTCAACAATTATTATACATCATTTTAAAGAGAAAGCTTTGATCTTTAATTTAAAATAAGTCTCATTCCTTCATTTCAATAAATACGGCTTCCAGGAATTTTTAAATTAGCATCATTTTTGACACTTTTAGATTCTACGAAAATTTAAGTTTTGTTTCAACATTCTTTTCTCAATATTTTTCTAATCCAACCCAACAATTATTATACCTCATTTTAAAGAGAAAGATTTGTGCTTTAATTTAGAGCAAGTCTCATTCCTTAATTTCAATAAATACGGCTCCCAGGAATTTTTAAATTAGCATCNAAATATATAAAATATATAAAATATATAAAATATATAAAATATATAAAATATATAAAATATATAAAATATATAAAATATATAAAATATATAAAATATATAGATATATAAAATAATTTATTGTGACTAAAATAATAAATAAAAATTACGAGGAAAAAGATGATTCAGTTTAAAGTAAATTCAACTGATTAGTATTCATTATTGCATCAATGACGTACTTTTAAAACAAAGCCGATTCGAAACACGTGATTTTAATTACGCACCATTGTGATACGCGATGGAGTCAGTCATTTATAGACAGTGTCAAATGAAATATTTAACCTCTTTATACCTATAATTAAATGAATTTACTATTTCAGGGTCGATGAAATTTAACAATTCGATACTATTAATACGTTACCTTAATAAAGCTGATAGGTATAGTCTGCTTTGATTTGCTATAATGCCTCGCTACTTTGTATACTGTTTCCGGGATATATTCTAGCACCAAATTAAGATACACTTCGTCTTTCTGTAAAATACAAAATAACAGATTTTTAGTGCAAATACATTTCGAAACGCGCATGATTAAACAAAGAAAATGTTAAAGCAACGATGCTAAAAGAAAAATATGATTTTGTAGTTATTCCAATGTTGTTAGGCGAAAAAACTCTAAAATTAATAAAAATTGGTCAATGTAGATCAAAGTCAAAGACGGTAGAATCAAAGAGGATCGCTACATCCCGGGAAACTGTGCATTGCTCGATGGCCCGTTCGTGACGTCACGCAACCACTTAAGTGGTTTTCTAAATCCGAATGATTCTAGTTCTAGGTTTAATATTACTTTTACTAGAAATATTTTGTACGTTATATCCGTACTAAAAAGTAGATCTAAAATACAACACTTCCATTGAGGTCTTAATAATCTAGAGTGTGTATGTGGCGGTGAATGGTGGGGGCAATCAGAAAGTCAGACATGTTGGATGTACCGACCTGAACTTAGCTATAGTTTCAAGTTTTTATTGTCCCTAGAATTATAACAAAATGTAAGTTTTATTTCAACATTTTTTTTCTCAATATTTTTCCAATCCAACCCAACAATTATTATACATCATTTTAAAGAGAAAGCTTTGAGCTTTAATTTAAAATAAGTCTCATTCCTTAATTACAATAAATACGGCTTCCAGGAATTTTTAAATTAGCATCTTTTTTGACACTTTTAGGTTATACGAAAATGTAAGTTTTATTTCAACATTTTTTTTCTCAATATTTTTCCAATCCAACTCAACAATTATTATACATCATTTTAAAGAGAGAGCTTTGAGCATTAATTTAGGATAAGTCTCATTCCTTAATTACAATAAATACGGCTTCCAGGAATTTTTAAATTAGCATCTTTTTTGGCACTTAGATTATGCGAAAATGTTAGTTTTTTCTCAATATTCTATCAGATTTCAAAATGTACTGCGTGCAATGTTTATTTATGTTGTAATGAAAGAAAGAACTGTTTTTCTGAATATCATAATGTAATTTAGCTAAAGCAAATGTTACTTATTTTTTAACGTAATAAAAGATGTATTATTCTTATATTAGCAACAAAAGGTTTTGCATACTGCAACATCACTAAAATATATTTTAATGCTTTTTTAATACTCTTAAGTACCATTATCCCCCTGAAATGGGGGGATTGCATATTTTGCTAAAATTGATTCCAAAGGTCTTTACTGAGTGTGTTTTGATAGCGTTTTAATTCTGTCACAAAGTTTCAAAATTTTTTGACTTCTTGGGACACAAAGGGTTAAGTAAATATAAGTATGTCTACGATAAAACTTTTAAAAACAGAGCGTGACACGTGTTATGACGTATCGTTCCGATACTGACGTCATTTTATAGAATACAAAAGAAAAAAGGATATAGCAGTCCTGTTAGATTCTACCGTCCTTGGATAAAAGCTATAAATTGGATAAAATTCTAAGAAAAAAAACGCTATTAAAAAAAAATTATTACCAGATTAGCAACTTACAAGTGCTTGTATGTTAAAAACCGTCGTATGTTAGGTGATTTTCGGTTCATAGCGGAACTAATTTGCCACACAAGGTACGGTAATATTTATATAAAAAAAAGGAAAAAATGTTTCAAGCTCTGTTCTAAATAAGTTCTATTAATGTACAGGGTAATACAATACATGATCGATAACTTGTAATAGCTTGATGAGTTCACTTTTGATAATGATCGAACACTGACGATTTACAATCAAAACATTTCTCGCAATCATTTTCAATTGTAAATCGACGCCCAAAATGTTTTTTTATGGAAACAAAACCAACAACAAGAAAACAAAGAAAACAAATTCAACAAATTAAAATAATGGATGAATAATCTAACAAAAACGCCTCAACCTCATTCATTTTTTGATTTCTGTACATTTACTATGTATGATTTATTTCTCTCAGCGTTCACATCATCGTACCTCACTTCTGGTTGCCATGAAAATACTCAGTTCACAAGGTATTTCTGCTCTCTAAACACACAAACACTTGTAAATTACGATGAAAACAAAGTTTTAATTGATAATTGAAAGTGTTTTGTTTTCAATTTAATCATTTAAAAATTAATTGTTTTTGTATCGATTAAATTAATATTTATATTATGGATATAACATTGAGATTTTTGAAAAAAAGAAAAAAAAATTAATGGGTTTATGATGATTTGAGTCCAATTATGAAATAAACGTGTTATTCCGATTAATATAATAACTATAAAAATAAAATCTTACCTTGTCCCCACTTGAATAGAAGAAATACTTAAGTTTTACTATGTTACAATGCTCTAGCCGCCTCATTATCTGTAATTCTCGATTCTGCAACAAAAAAAAATAATTAAGAAAAGTAATTTTGAGATTTTTTAAGAAAAATTATATTGGTGTGTGTCAAAATCATTCAAATTGATTAAAATTATGCATAAAATACTTAAAAATGATGAAAGAATTAAGAAAAATTATTTTGACATTTTTTGAAACTATTTCAAAGATATTAGGAAATAGGAAAAGATTATTGGTGTAAGTCAAAATAGTCCTAATCGATTGCAAGCACCTTCAGGTTATTTTATATAGCCAAAATCCGTTTTCCAGAAAATTCTAAAATTTTAGAACATCAGAAAAGGTCTAAATTCTTTGGATACTTAACAATGTTGAAAATTATTTTGGTGCCTTTGCAAAATGTTGTGCAAAACACATAATCGATTGTCTTCTGATATTCGAAGTAGTGTTAACTAGTCTCATTATTATTAGGAATATGTTAATTCATAAACGATTATCTAAATAAGCAAATATTGTTTCAAGTCAAAAGAGAAACACGGTGCCTAGCGCAAAAATGCGTGCATAATTGTTACCGTCAACATTGATGCAGACAATTACCACAAACTTTATACAACAAACATTTACGCCGTATCGTTCACATGATAATTGATCGGATTCGTAAATAGAAATAAAACCATTCGCGAATTTTGCGACACAACAAAAATATTATTACAACTTTGCATAAGAAATCAGGTTTTTTTTTAATGGAAAATCTTGTTTACCTTAAACCTCTTGTCTTGTAGGACTTTCTTAATTGCGACCATTTCGCCAGTATCACACAATTTGGCCTGATAGACCACTCCAAAACTACCATTCCCAATCACTTTGGTGTCCGTATATGAGACTTCCTGGGGTCGATCTGGTCCTTGACCCGGAGTCGCCACCACAGTGGTCACTTTACCTCCATCTTTACCTTTAAAAAGTAAAAAAAATAAAATAAATCATTTCTCAAAATCCGAGAAAATCCATGAATAATGGAACGAAATAAAAATATTTTTTAATGATGCCATCTTTTACGTAATCACCTTTTTTTATTTGACCGTGTTCTAAGCCGCACGGAATAGCGCAATTCAAATTGCAATGTAAACGGGACTTAATGAGGCACTTTGATGCTGACGGAGTTCTATAATTTTACGATTTCAATTTTCTTTGGATTTTATTTTTATTTTTTTTTGTATTTAAGTCCGGGAGGTGATTAGTTTTATCCGTGACCTTTAAACGAGGATAATTCTATCGATTATCGATTTTACAATTTATATACATTACTTAACCAAATTAAGCAATTCACAATTTCATTTATATTCCTAATCATTTTTTAATAAAATACAATAGTGCAATTAATTTTAATAACATACAATAAAAACCTCGATATAACAGATTAATACGGGGAAAGAAGTGTCCGTTATTGCCAAATGTACATTATATGAATAATTTTAATGCATACACATTCGGATAGCTCCACATCGTTGCATCAAGTCTACGTGGCTTTATATTTATACAACGATGGTAGAATATAAGAGGATGCTACATCCCGGGAATAGGACACAGCTCGAAGGCCCGTTCGTGACGTCAGTGCTGAATAATAATTAAAACTAGAAGTGTAACACTAGACCTAGAATTAAAAAGTTTCTGGTTTAGCCGTGCGTAAAAGTTTCTAGCTAGTTTTAGTTCAATAAAGGTACACAACCTAACTCTAGTGTTAGATCTGGTATTGCACTATCACTAGAACCAACACTAGACCTAGAACTAGAATCATTCGGGTTTAGCCGTCTTGAGAGACGTGCGGCTAAACCCGATTGTTTCTAGTTCTCAGTCTAGTGTTGGTTCTAGTATTGCACTAACACTATTACTAGAACTAACACAAGATCTAGAACTAGAATCATGCGGGTTTAGCCGTCTCGAGAGACGTGCGGCTAAATCCGAATGTTTCTAGTTCTAGTGTTGGTTCTAGTATTGCACTAGCACTATTACTAGAACTAACACAAGATCTAGAACTAGAATCATTCGGGTTTAGCCGTCTTGAGAGACGTGCGGCTAAATCCGAATGTTTCTAGTTCTAGTGTTGGTTCTAGTATTGCACTAGCACTATTACTAGAACTAACACAAGATCTAGAACTAGAATCATTCGGGTTTAGCCGTCTTGAGAGACGTACGGCTAAACCCGAATGTTTCTAGTTCTCAGTCTAGTGTTGGTTCTAGTATTGCACTAGCACTGTTACTAGAACTAACACAAGATCTAGAACTAGAATCATTCGGGTTTAGCCGTCTTGAGAGACGTGCGGCTAAATCCGAAAGTTTCTAGTTCCATGTTCTACTTTTAGTTCAATAAAAATATACAACAGTCTAGTGCGGATTAACAATTAAAATAGAACTAACACTAGACTTAGAACTAGAAACGTTCGGGTTTAGCCGTCTTTAAAGACGTTCGGCTAAACCCGAATGTTTCTAGTTATAGGTCTAGTGTTAGTTCTAGTTTTAGTTTTAAAACTAACATAAATATACAGGGTGTGTCAAATGTCTGGAATATAGCCAATAACATCGCCATTTGTGGTTTTAAAGAGAAAACGGGCGCATCATTATTAATTATTGATAATTGTTGAAACTGTATTTTTTTTGACATTTAAAGCTGTCAACGGCGTTATTTCGGTGTCTACTTTGATTGTAATTAGCTGATTTAAGACTTTCAAAAAACGCATTTTTTTCTCGATATTTTTCTTATACAACCATATGATTTGATATGTTCATCGCATAGAGGGACTTATCCTCTATCAAAGTATGAAAAAAAATATATGCATCCCATTTAAAATAACAATATTGGTTGCCATAGCAACGAAACAAAAAACAATACAAACAAGCAAATATCGCCAAAAAATGCGCCATGATTAATAAAGAAACTTGTATTTGAAACATTTTTCTTTAAAACCACAAATGGCGAAGTTATTGGCTATATTCNATAAATATAAATATATATAAATATAAATATATATAAATATAAATATATATAAATATAAATATATATAAATATAAATATATATAAATATAAATATATATAAATATAAATATATATAAATATAAATATATATAAATATATATAAATATAATATATATTATAACAATCAAATTTTTTCTACTCATACTTGATACACCATGTATATATAATATATACAGGGTGAGTTATTAGTATCCCGGCGGACCGATAGTTGCTAAGAGTTTGAGAAAGAAAAAAATATTTTATACAAAAATTGTTTAACTCGCCGCTTTATTACGTAAAATTATTTTCACTTATACAGGGTGTTCCATTTAGGGGTAACGAAGAGTGTATAGATTTGTTTAAATGGAACATCTGTATATTTTATCATATTATGAATAGAATTAAATTTGTTTATACAACCGTATATGTCACTAACTCGTAGCGTTCATAGTTCCTGAGATATTCAATTGTTTTTCCAAAATGTGTCAATTGCAGGATCTTTTTAAAAACGATATAAAAACGACATTTTTTCCAATTTTATTTTGAAACTGTGTCAGATAATAGTAAAAGCCAGTAGGTAGATGATAGTATCCAAAGATATTAGATACGCTATACAGCGTGTTCATAGAGGTTACCTAGTTACTTTTGATGTTTTTTTAATGTCTTTTTCATAAGTTTATATTTTAGTTTTTAAGTTTTATATTTTTTGTTTCTCAAACGGTTTAGTAACTATCAACCACCGGGATACTAATAACTCATCCTGTATATAATATACAGTGTGACCCATTTGAAAGCGGAACACCCTTGTAAAATTAGTATTTATTATCCGATTTCGATAAATTTTGTTTTGAATTGTAGAGCATAAAAAACTGTACCTTAGGACAAAGAGTAATGCTTTTCTTAAAAAAAACAAGGCCTACTATTTCACTTTTTAGGTGCTAAAAATGAAGAAATCATATTATGAAATTTTTTACAAAAAATCTAAGTAAACCACTGCTTTAAGCGCCTTTTGAAATGGGCATATACCAAATTTCATCAAAAATGGTTAGAAATTAGAACCGTTACAGAAAATTGAAAAATATAATTTTTCATGAATTTATAAAGTGAAATAGTAGGCCTTGTTTTTTTTTAAGAAAAACATGACTCGTTGTTCTAAGATACAGTTCTTTACACTCTACAATTCAAAAAAAATGTATAAAATCGGATAATAAATACAAATTTTACGAGGGTGTTCCGCTTTCAAATGGGTCACACTGTATATAATATACAGGGGGATGATGGTCCCCTAAATTTTGACAGATTTTTTTAACCTTTAGGTGGATTTAATACATTNGAACCATAGTATTCATCAAACCATTTCATTTGATGCCTCGGTCATGAAAATCGGAATATAAATGACAGAGTTACAGCTTGGGGCGTTTTTTGTGTGACACCCTGTATATAAATATAATATATATAAATATAATATATATAAATATAATATATATAAATATAATATATATAAATATAATATATATTATAACAATCAAATTTTTTCTACTCATACTTGATACACCCTGTATATATAATATATACAGGGTGAGTTATTGGTATCCCGGCAGACCGATAGTTGCTAAACCGTTTGAGAAAGAAAAAAATATTTTATACAAAAAGTGTTTGACTCGCCGCTTTCTATTACGTAAAATTATTTTCACTTATACAGGGTGTTCCATTTAGGCGTAACGGAGAGTATGTAGATTTTTTTAAATGGAACTCCTGTATATTTTATCATATTACGAATAGCATTAAATTTGTTTATACAACCGTATATGTCACTAACTCGTAGCGTTCATAGTTCCTGAGATATTCAATTGTTTTTCCAAAATGTGTCAATTGTAGGATCTTTTTAAAAACGATATAAAAACGACATTTTTTCCAATTTTGCCTTGAAACTATGTCAGATACTAGTAAAAGCCAATAGATAGATGATAGTATCCAAAGATATTAGATACGCTATACAGCGTGTTCATAAAGCTTAGTTACTTTTGATGTTTTTTGAATGTCTTTTTCATAAGTTTATATTTTAGTTTTTAAGTTTTATATTTTTTGTTTTTCAAACGGTTTAGTAACTATCGACCACCGAGATACTAATAACTCATCCTGTATATAATATACAGTGTGACCCATTTGAAAGCGGAACACCCTTGTAAAATTTGTATTTATTATCCGATTTCGATAAATTTTGAATTGTAGAGCATAAAAAACTGTACCTTAGGATAAAGAGTCATGTTTTTCTTAAAAAAACAAGGCCTACTATTTCACTTTTTAGGTGCAAAATGGAGAAATCATATTATGAAATTTTTTACAAAAAATCTGAGTAGACCACTGCATTAAGCCCCTTTTGAAATGGGCATATACCAAATTTCATCAAAAATGGTTAGAAATTAAAACCGTTACAGATAATTGAAAAATATCATTGTTCATGAATTTATAAAGTGAAATAGTAGGCCTTGGTTTTTTTTTAAGAAAAACATGACTCGTTGTCCTAAGGTACAGTTCTTTACACTCTACAATTCAAAAAAAATGTATAAAATCGGATAATAAATACAAATTTTACGAGGGTGTTCCGCTTTCAAATGGGTCACACTGTATATAATATACAGGGGGATGATGGTCCCCTAAATGTTAACAGATTTTTTTAACCTTTAGGTGGATTTAATACATTATTACCTCATTTCATGTGGAATTTAATTCTAAAACTTTTTTTACTCTTATTATTTTTTAAAAAACATTGTCGTTTTCATAAAAAACTCAAATAACTAAAGACACGTATTTCGCTACTGCAGGTGTACAAATATATATATAATATATATATTTTTCTACGTCTAGTGTTAGTTTTAAAACTAAAACTAACACTAGAGATAGAAACATTCGGGATTAGCCGTCTTTAAAGACGTTTCTGG